GGATGAGACGACCAAAGAAAAGGGTAATAAAAGGAAAAGAGAAGCTGAGGTTGATGGTTGTGGAGAATGGCCAGTTATTGTAATTGAATCAGACAGCGGTAGAGGGGAAAATCACACTAATAAAAAAGGAAGTGAGGCAGAGAAGGAAATAGGGAATAATGAAAAAAAGGAAGAGTCTGAGGAAGATGAAGAGACGATGAAGATAGGGAAAGTGGTACGAATTCTGATTCTGAAACTGAAACTGAAGAAGAACGTACTGTTAAGGCAAATGGGTCATTTGATTCGATGAGTGAGGACAATAATGATGATGCTGCTGCTGCTGCTGCTGCTGATGATGATGACAGTGGATCAGACTCTAGCACAGGCAATTATCATGAAGCTGATCAAGAAACAAGTGAAGATTCGTCATGGCTATAATAAGTGTATTATGTTTGTAATTAAAGAGGTTTTTTGGGGTTTAGGTGTAGGAATGCTAGTGCGAGTCACTGGTCTGCTTGACCATTAAAAATTCAGCTTAAGTAGATCTGTAGAAGTATTGGAATTAAGGTTAGGGCTTAGTAATTGGTTTTTATTGGAATATCTATTGTAATTAGTAAAGGAAGTTAGGGTGTAAGTACTATGAAATCGAATTTTATTTTATGAAAAATGGATGGTTCTTATTATATATTTTGTGCTCTTGAACATATTAGATGGAAATTGTTAATGTATACATGGCCAAAAAAGCTCAGAGTACAAATACAGTAGCACTGTAATAGTTTATATTTCACATAAAAGGTAGTTGGAAAAAAAATATGGCGAGGGACTTTTTTGTAGACATCTAAAGCAATGGACAACATCAGTGTTTGTAAAAATATCGACATAAAAAGACATGTTTTGATCCTGGTACAAATGGAATTGATAAGAAAGTGCACTTTAAGAGATGTATGGTATACTTCTCAGTAATTGGAATCACCTCCATGCTTCTGGGACCATAGGGTAGGGTTTTTCTCCTTGAATGGTAATCTATCTGCTAGTGTAGATACAGGTAATATTGCTCTATTATAAAGTATAATCTGTTTGACTTTTGAGTTTATTTTAGAACACTGAGGTTATAATGGTTATAGATAGATATTCAAAATCTATTGTTGTTCTTTTTTCATATCTATAGCTTACAAGAACGTGTAAATTGCACGTGTGTTTATTTGCTTTTGCTAGGCTAGTACACCAGGTTACATATAAAGAGAATCTATCACAGGAAAAGATATCCTGCAGCATGGTAATTATTAAGGCTAGGGTGTTCACAGTGATATAGAATCTGAAATTTGGCAGAGCCTTAGTGTATCTGATGCTTATAGAGACTCACATGGCTACAGTTGCTGTGAATCCTGTGGCTATTTTTACTAAGCTTTGCTGGTGTGTCTGAATATAAAAGGCGCTGAGATTTGTTGTAAGAGATAGTATTACTGAATGATAATGGTATGCTTACTAAGCTTAGTAGAGAAAGATATCTATTCTACTATTCCAATCTTAAAGTTTTTCTTATATATGTATTTGGTATGTTGTTTTTACGCAGGCAGCCAATAATGCAATAATGAAATGGGTTATAAGCATTGATCAAGAACATCAGAAATCTGTAGTATGGAATGTTGTTTACGGTAAAATGCTTTTCAGTCACCTATGTTTAATTGATTACTAATTGGTTTACTGCTTGTGTATTTGTCTTCAGGAAATTCCTGGTCGATATTTTCAACGTATGCAGCCAAGTACTGTTGTTCTAATCCGCCACAAACTTAAACAATGGTGTGCCGAGTTGCATATTGCTCGACAAGGAAATGTAATAATTGGTTGTTCCCTGAGGAACGGCGTAAATCTCTTCTATGAGGCTGAGCATATTATTAGTGGTGTAGGTGGATTAGTAATTTATCGTCAAGGATTTCCTCTCCTATTCGAGTTTCAGCTAGCACCACATTAATGGTCTTAGATCATTTGGTTATTTATTTACGAAACATTTCTAGCTTTTTATGGAGAAGGTTAACCTATATGGTGCTTTTAGTGGACGTACGTTAGAAGCGCAAAATGCATTGAGCCAGCTTAAATTCGATGATATATTGTTAAAAAGGCCTAGCATAGCCATGCTTGTATTGTAAGACTAATTTAATTATTGTGCAAAAGTAAGGTTCATGTGTTTCAAACTTAGTGTCTATTGTTGTTTTATCGTAATCTTTCTTATACCATATATTTTTCAATTTGTGAATTGATATAGGATATCATGTAATGTTATATTGTAATTTTAATGGTTTTTCTAGATTCTGATAATACATTTTGTTGTTATCTATTCGAATTAATTAAATATGAGGCGAAAGTTATTAGTTTATATTTGCTTGTTATTCGCGTTGTCAGTTAAAAGAATATCTAACCATCTTTTGTCATGTCACTGTAAAGCCTATTTAGTAGACTATATAGTGAGGGAATCCACTTTTGGAAGAGTGATAAAAGATTGGATATGGATGTAATCAGTATTGCTGCCTTTTAAAATTATAAGTGTATGAAAATACAAATAAGTGATATTAATATTCTGTACCTAACAGCTGCTTGATATTCAACCATCAGTATATTCATTATTTTTACAGAAGACAAGAAGTCTTTAGAAACACATAGATATAGAATCTTATTTCTCAATTACTTTCTCAGGGTAAATTATGATATTAATGACCTTTTATTTTCTCAGTAATATATGTAACAGTACAGCAGTTTAGGTTCAGATTTTCTGTCTATATATAGAAGCATTTTCTATCAGTTGGCAAGTACATGGGAATTTTGTGACTGTTACAGAAATTATTGTGTAGGTGCTGTAGAGAATAAGTGTCTTGCTGAAAAAATCCATGGCAGATTTTCCAGTTGTGTTTACAGTTCGGTATGAGTATGACAAAGAGCAACATGATAAGCTGGTATGAAATTATTTAAACTGTCTTTGTTAGTGTTTGATGTCCATCTATTGTAGGATTTGCTTAGTTTTAGGTTTTGCCTACATTTCTGCCTTTTTCTGTTGTGCATGTCGCATATATTTTGGTTAGCTGTTATGTGTGGTTAGTACTTTGTATTGTGTTCATAATAAGTGAATATTGTCATATGTGCAGCATATCCCTGATGGTTTTGGAGATGTGTTAGATGATGGCTTTTTAAATATTCAGTTATTCATAGATGGCTGTCAAGAATCTTGGTATGTTACTTTAGTTCATGAAGAATGTGGTAGAGGTTGGAGTACATATCTTGATGCAGGATGGGCTGATTTTGTGGAAGATAATGGGATAGAAGTAGGTGATATCCTAATTTTCACTTATTTAGGGGATAGTTCATTCACAATCCGAATTCAAACTGCTAAGAAAGGAAAGAAGATACAAAAGGAAAAACATTCTGAGGGCTCAAGCAGTTCTTATAAAAAACGTGGACGGCGACCAACTGTTCAAGGATCTTCAGCTAAAATGATTGAGACCTATGCTTGGCTCACTGAACTTGCTGCTAGCTGCCATGAAGAGTATTTCTTTTTCATATTTTCAGCTGCGTATATTCAGCAAGGAGTTATAGTATGTTTTTCTTTTAATCTATGGTAGTTTGCAGAACACGCATTTCTTGTTTGTATTCTTGCTAATATTATTTTGTGTGGTGTGGTTTTTGGTAGAATGTTCCGCTGCATTTTGCTAGGCAACATTTTCAGGATTTCCCTGATACTACAGATATCACTTTGCAGAACTTTGATAGAGAGTTTACTGCTCAGTTGAAGATTACAAAGGCTGGGAGTACGATTATTCAGTGCTTAATAAAGAATTGTGTAAAGAAATTTACTGATCACTACAATGTCCAAGTAGATGAAGGGGCGTTGATAAAATTTAGACAAGGAAATTCCATAGTCTTTGATTTCGACTTAGTGTTGGTGTAATAGGCTGACTAATCTGCCTTCTTAGAATGCTATGTTATCAAGACTGTGTGTTTTTTCTTTGCTTTTATTGTGTTAAGAGATTAATAAGGGTAGTAGATTTGTTTTAGAATGAATTATTTCCTTATGTAATGTAATGGTATTAGACAAAGGTTAGCTTCTCTTTTTAGAAAGCACTTCCTTCACTTTGTTTTTGCTATCCTTTGATATTTTAATTTGAAATTAACCATGAATATCTAACTTGCCTGCAGCTATTTTGTATCTTAGTCTAGATATGTTTACCCAGTTAGTCTTTTAACAGTCCAGTAACTTTTCTATTGTATATTCGGAAAATTATCAGCGGGAAAAGTACACGAAAAGCAAACAAGACAGTTTAAAAAATTTAACTATCATGGATATTTTACATACCTGGGTTGTGAAAGCCATGGTGGCGCCTGTCAATGCATAGATATTTTATTAACATTTCTGTAGAGGCCTGAGTATAGTGCAGCTCGAAAGCACCTAAAATGGAAATGTGAACTGCACGGCTGTGAAAAAATGAAATCGTTCAGGACTCAAAATTAGGAACTTCTAACATTTGCAGAAGCATATTAAAACTCTAATGTGACATGTGACCTAGGTTATTAATCACTCTGTCCATAATTAGTTTCTAGGCAGTGAGATTGATAGGTAAAATGAATTAGTGCAACAAGAATAGCTAGAGAATTACCAGTGTTCATGCCTTGATGAAAAGCATGAGAATGTAGGTGAGCGTAGCAAGCCATGGCTGTTTTCCTGCTTTGATTTGTGCTGTAAAATGAGGGCCAGCATGCTACAAAAGGAAACCAAAAGTGTTGAAAGAAAAGGATTTCAAACAACTCTCAAAAAAGGCATGATTGTTAAACATATATGAAGTAAAATGTAGTCTGCGATTACTGGAAACTGAACATGCATGAATGAATATGAAATTAGGATAAGTGGAAAAATCGTAAAAGTGTCAAAGAATGCATCTAAGTTAGCCGGTGCAGCACTCATTTGAGCCTGCTAAGTTAAAAGGCTACAGATGAAATGGTACGTAAAGCTTAATAGAAATAGTTTCCAATAACCAAGTTATATTATAGATAAGCATCCTGATTTAAGGATACAAGTTAATACATCATACTTATTTTGCTAGTACTATGTACATAATAGAAGGCTTTCTAAGACATAACTGCAGATTAGGTGCTACTACAAAGCTTAGTGCTGTATATACAGCTGATGTTTATAGAGAACACACGATGTGCAAAATGTTCTTTCTAAACATCCAAAAGATACCTGACCTTAACCCTAGCAATGTACCATACTATAGTACTTGATTCATTCTAATACTTTAAAAGCAAAAGGAGGCAAATACTTATACTTCTTAAACTGGCTTCACATGCAAGCTGGTAGGGAGACTTCAAGGTGATTCCTGGTTGTTACTTGTCTTTTTCTGCATTCTCTTTGAAAAGGGCTGTTTGGAGTTTCTTCCTTGGACCCTGGTCTTCATCATCCGACTCCTGCGCATCATTAGCTTCCATTGGCTCTTTGTTCTTAGCTTTGCTACGAGTGCGACCAAGAGTGGCCCATGTAGGAAGGTCTGTCACTGGTGTTGGTGCTTCAGAAATTGTGATGCCCGTAGTTGCTGGCTGGAATGAGACATCAAAGCAATCTCTCTCAAATGCTTGGGAAGCTAGTTTGAACTCATGAAACTGGGCTATTTCAGCAAGAACCTCATCAGGTTTTTTCCGTGTTCTCTTCACTGTAATCAGTATCACCTTCTAAGTTAGGAACAGCGGGTACTTTACCATGGTCCTTAGATGTGGCAGCTGGTGCAACATCAGTTCCGATCATTTGTGGTGCTGGCAGTCCCTTACCAGCTGTAGAAGGGAACTGATGTCTGTTCAGATTAGAAGATGATGAACCTGGCACATTGTTGCTCGTTGGTGCACCTTCGACATCGACAGATTTCAGTGTCCATAATAGAACATTATTCCTTGCTAACTCTAGAGTCGGAGTTACTTGAATGAAAAAAGGCTCCACTGATAGCCTGTCTTGTACAGCTTTAAAAGCCTCCCAATTTCCCCATAATGTTCATGACCATGCATAAATAATCAGTATATAGCATGTGAAGAAGGCAAAATTATTTACCCTTTTTTTTTTTGGAGAATAAAAGACTAAGTAACAGAAAGTATTGTAATCAAACAGTCCTTCCTTCCCTTTTTTTTTTTTTTTTGGAATTTATAATAATCGGTACATGCATATCATGATGAACAATTATACTCACAAAAGCATATACAAAGCTGGAAAAATTTTAAAAACTGCACAACGTTAAAGATCATAACAGTGATGGGATTCCTTACATTGATTTTCATATCCCAAATTTCAGCTGCTGTCTTTTGGAAAAGTTTCTCTGTATCATCGCTAAAAGTTGTAAATGACATTGTACCAGTGTCATCAACAGCTTCGAAATTGAAAGTAACTCTATAACAGTACACATGCCAGGTGAACAAAGTGTTAGTTTATGTATAATAATTATAGAGGTTTTTAAAAAACTAAACTGTGGGCTAAAAGTATACTTATGGGCAGCAGTAGTGTCTGCCTTCCTGCAAGAAATGCAAGGGAAGCGAGTCCCAAGTGCAAGGTGTGACCGCTTTCCACAGCCAAGACACCCTATGTATGCATTCACTCTCTGTAAGTCAGCCTCTGGAATTGTGACTTTGATCCAAGCAACTTCATCTGGTGTTGCATTAGCTGCCTGCATCAATGTTGTTAACAAGGTATTACTAAATAGGCAAATATATAGCTGTCCTAAATGCTATGTATTATAAGTTTTTTTTTCCCATGTATAATAAGTTCAGTGAATTGAGGACCTTTTTTACTTCTCAGCTCAGCTATTGTCACAACTTTCTTTTCAGTGCTTGGGTATCTGACATTCAGAATCCTTTCTTGCCTATCTTGCAATACATGCTGATATAAGTTAACCCTGAAACAAAATAGGAAGCCTTAGTTAACCTGTTTTTATTTGCTGATAGAATGATTTTATATAACATTTACCATTCTCGAAGCAGATCTGTTCGTGCTCCTTTGGGATTTAGAATGATTTTGGTGGACATGGTTGTATTCAGAGTGAATCCTGTAGCCAAATAGAAGAAAGGTTATTCTTTAATGTTCAGCGAAAGTTAGAAGATGTAAATTATACCAAGCAATCTGACCTCGTGTGTGTCGGGTCTTGAGGGCAGTAAAACCAACAACATTAAATTTCTCAGCCCAATTATTTAGAGCATCACAAGGTTTCCCAGTGAGATCATTCCATGCTGAAATAGTCATAGCATGATCTTGGCTGGTACATAAATAAATAATAAGTGTAAGTAGTCTGGCTCAGTTGTTAGCTAAATGATACAATGCGCAACTTTTGAAGAACTATATATACCTTGTATCTGTAATAGAAATCTCCCGAACTGGACTATCCCTACCACGTGTATTGGGGATTAGTCTCGGTGTTGCTTCAACAAATAGGATAACAGCAACTATATCTGGTTTAGGAAAAAAGTTACAAGTGAGCATAATAAAGTGCATGCATGTAATGACATTTTCAAAGATGCAAGTACAACTGTAGATATTTCTAAAACGATAGTTAATAAGCACTACCAAATCTTCCATTTGGATCAGGTGATCGTGGAATACTTGACAGTGGCTGATACTTTAGTTCAATCGGTCCACTTTCTGGATTTAACCGTTGAATGATGGTTTGCTGTCCAACAGTCATTTGGTATGGAAGTTCTTGTCCATTAAATTTGTACTGCTCATCAACAGCTGTTATAGGAGCCTTGGATATTTCGTACTGACCAGATGGCTTCAGAACATCTTCATATGCTTTAATCTGATCACCAAAAAGAGCACAGCGCATCTTGTTTTTCTGAAAAACATACATATCATACTCATTAAGGAGAAGAACACTTAACAGAAAAGACTACTCTATGTAGGGAATTGAGGCATGTTTAAGTAAGTAACCTAATTCTAACTCTGAACAGACCTACACATAAATATTCTAGAGCTATTTTCTTATTCATAATTTGTATACTCTTTCTGTTGTATAATGATTCTTTTATAGCTCATAAATTAGGTCTAGGAGACTATATTTGCAACAAGTAATATCGAACACTGCAATCAGAAAACAAATCTTATATATATTTCTATAATTTAAGTTTACAACAAGCATATACCTTTTCATCCTCTAAAATGATTGTTTGGAAGACCATACCAGGTTTCTTAGGAGAAGGTTGAGCTCTTCCCTTTTCAGCGACAGTGACTTTAACTTTGTAGTCCTTGCTTTGAGCAGTTAGTTAATCTAGGTAAACAGGTTCAAGCTTCATTCTTGGTGGTGTATTCATGATCTGTAATTCATGGAATGCAAAATAGTCAGCAAAAGAACTATAGTAAGGAATATTTTCGATTTGCATGTAAATCTAACAGGTATAGTTGTTATACTTTACAGGTTGTAAGAATGAGGCAGCATAAAAGTGCATGTATGATGATAAGTGTAGGTTACATGAATATGATATACAATCTGTTGCCATTCTTCCAATAGTTAGTTTTTTAAACAGAATATCTATAAACAAATTCTAAGCATGAAGAATGGAAAAAAAAAATTGAACAAACAGAATAGTTTCAAGAATAAAGCAAATTGAGATATTGCATGGGCAATAGTTACTGTAATAGAGATAACTTAATAAACATATAGCAGCATATACAAATGCAAACAAACTCAGTGGCAGTCCTAGACTATACTAAAAGGAGCAAAATAATTACGAGGTATAGATTTCTCAAAATGGAATTCTGACCAATTTTTTTTTCAAAAAGTAGCTAAGAATGTGAGTGATAGTTACATCAAGTAATGTAAAAGCTACTTTAAAACTTGCATGAAAGAAGAAGAATATACCACAATTAAGGATGCAAAGTAAGAGAATAAAGTTGATGCTCCAAAAGTCCCCAACCTTTCTAGTATTTATAGTCAAAGCTGAAAGAGAATTGATCTAGGTATTTTGTTGCAACAGTAACCGTATGCAAACAGTAATTAGCCTTCTTTTTTTTTACTTGATTACAGCTTGCAAGCACCTAAGGGTAGTTTAATATGTTTTCCTTAAAGCATAAGCAAAAATATCCTAATTATTATGGCTATTATATTATGCAGCATATTTAAATAAAAAAAAGACTTTCTTTTATGTGGCTAAAGCAAAAAGCAAGTACATCTCTTATTATAAAAGTATTTTTCTTACCATGAATAGTTACTTTGACTTGTAATTGCTAGTTGTGATCTCCAAGGTGAAATGCTTCTACATTCTTCTCTACTATTAACAAATCTGTCATACCAAAAGTATAACGGTAATTATATTCAATGGGCTACATTAACAAAGCCCACCTATAAACTATGCAATACATAACCCAAATAATAACCTCAACAAAATATCAAAAGTCACTATTAGTAACACATGAAATGCCACATGGTTTATAGTACATATTTGTCGAAATACTCGTTAGTGAGTATTGATCAGCAAAAACATTTTTAACATAGACTCGATGTACAGTAAATATACCAACTAAACAAGTAAACGCCATAGTAAAATAAAATGCGAGTGACTTCTATATCAAGCATGCATAGCAAAGCATAATATATTGTATAGGATACACTTTCAGCAGAAGATAAATGCTATTGCTTGTTGAGTCTTTTGCTTCCTGTATGGTAAATACAAATACTCAAAGCTTGGGGTACAGCCTCTGCATAGGTAAAGGGAGAACAACCTATCTGTTAATGACAAAATGCTCCAATTAGACATCATTTACTGTCCATTTGCAAGAACAAGCACACTAAACAACCTAATATCACTGACTCTTGTCATTGAAAGGTAGTGAGCATCCGACGAAAGGCTAACCACAATTCGTGACTAACAAGCGCACCTAATCCAGATTAATAAATCAGGTAATGCTAAACCATGAGAAAAGAGCCTAAGTCATTCTGATACATCATTGTACTATCATGGAATTTTGTGAAGTTTAGTTATGAGGACCAAATAATATCTTCTCATGACAGCTTATCCAGAAGATATTACTAAGTCTGACGTAACAAAGTAGAAGTCAAAGGCTGATGGTATTTCAGCATCAGAAAAATTTGTAAATCATAGTTATATTGTACCTCACAGAGCTGGGCATAGTGTTTATATATGTCGGTATTTTCATTAACATGATCAAGCAAAGTTCTACCACACCAGCAATTGTTTTCGTCCATAGATGACATCTCAAGATACCTAAGCAAAGAGGAAGGTAAAAAAAGTTAGGTGCAAAGGTCATACTTTTTAAATCTGTATCAAAGCAGTATTGCTTTTATCTAAGGCCATATCATGCTATCCAGATTAATAAGGGTATGCAGCCAATAATGTTCAGAGTTCATGAATAATTTAGCGAGCATGTGCATGTCAAACATCAAAAATACATATGTGGATTTGACAGTCAACTAATAATATTTATTTGTCAATCTTATTTCAAAAATCGAATTGGTCTAGAAGCAAACAAAAACATTACGAACCTTTGGAAGACACTCTTTTAATCGCACTCAACTACTCGAGAGAGCATATTTTTATCACAAATACCATTAGACACGGTGTCATTTTCTGAGACATCATTTATGTTTGTTCCTGAAGCCTCCTTTGAAGTAGATTCATTTTGTCTATCTTTCTTTAAACTGGAATCCCAGTTTGGGTATTTGAGTTGTATCTTTCTGCACAAAAGGTATAAATTAAGTCTGGGAATCAGACATGCATGCGATTGACAGAGCAGCTAATGCATTAATTTCATAAGATCAACTTTTGTTCAATTGAACGTGCACCATCATCCGAGAATTCAGAAAGAGCGGGGAAGCTTTAATTCCAAAAGAGCTATCTTCTCTAGCAGAAGGAAGAGCTTAACATCTTTAGCAATTTGTTTTCTCACAATGAAAAAAAGAAAATGTAGAAAGCTTACATTGCATCAAGTGCCACTCCAGCAAAACCTCACATCTTTTATCAAACTGCATGTCCTGACAGTGAACTTATGAAAAGAGGTCAGTTTGATCATTGAAAAGTGTTCTCTATAAGCAGGCATAGGTTCCAAAGAAATCTTTTCTCCTAAGGGAATGACATCAGTTGGAGAATTGTTCCGGCTGCCAAAAAGCATAACAAGATTATACTGGATAAAGGCATTTCTCAATAATAAAAATGCAGTACAACAGATAATGCAAAATAATAGAAAATATTTATAGCCCAAACAAAAGCAAGCATACACAAGTTCAGCCAATTCAAGAGAAGGTAAAGTGATAAAAAGGAATAAATAAGAAAAGAAAATAAAGGAGGAATCAATTCCTTGATCAGAAGAATCATGAACACTTAATCCAGTGTATCAAAACTAAGGCCTAGTATGTACAAGTATAAATATAATTGAAAGCACGAAATGCCTGATTATAAGACAGAAGGATATTTTTATAAGCTACAATGCAGGAAGGCCATCTACAAACCCCGCATCACATATTTCTTAGGACAGAAACATAATCAGGAAAAAAGAGATGCACTGCTGTACTAAATTAGTACATCAATTAAAGCGCATTCACATGCTTACAATGTCCAGTGTAAAGCCAGCCTACATTCACACCAAAACATATATTAGTAACATTAAATCCTGCTCTGACATGTAATATATATATATATATATATATATATATATATATATATATATATATATATATATATATATATATATATTCTCACTGTATTAAAAAACAATCACCATCAGCAACTCTGGTATACCTGTGTTTGGTAACAGGAGTTCAATGTAACGGTCAGTCTACATTACATCATTCTGAACAATGCCTGCAAGCTGTAGAAGTTTATGAGACACTACATTCTTAACTGCATTAACAGAACATTGGTTAGCAGCAGTTACAGTGAAAACGCAAACATCGTTTGATTTTTTTGCTCGTGAAAGGGCAACATAAAGCTGCCCATGGGAAAAACATGGGCGTGGTAAATAAATGGATACTTGGCTAAGAGTCTGTCCTCGAGATTTGTTAATTGTCATTGCAAAGCTAAGTTTTATAGGAAATTGTTTTCGTTCAAACATGAACGGATACTTGACAGACTTAGAAGGCCTTAAATTAATCCTATGGATAAAAACTTCCTCTCCTTTGTAATGGCCAACTGCTATAGTGCACTGAATGACATTCGGAAAAAACTTCCTACAAATTAACCTTGTACCGTTGCAAAGACCTGAAGATGGAAGCAAATTCCTTAGCAGTATCACTGGGCAGTTTTCCTTCAGCACAAGCTCATGAGGACTCATTCCACCCAGGCACAACTTGTTAATAAATTCCGTAGGATATATACTGCATGTATCATTAACAACAACATCAAAACTCTTATAAGTCACAGCAAAACCAGGAAATTTCTCGATCATGAATGCGTTTATACTATCCACATCATCATTCATGGGTGTCAGAATCGCCTTTCTTGTGAAAACCTCACTGTCAAAGCAGCCACGGCCAATTTCTGGAAATGTTGTTTCTGTAACAGTGGCAACTAAGTCTGTAAAGTCATCTGTGCATTGTACAATATGTTCCGGTAGCTCGACAAAAGCGTTTTCTATTTGCTGCAGTTCGCCATTTCCCAAACCAAGCAGAAAAGAAGCGTATCCTGGGTCTTCCCGTGCCCTGATATTTTCTGTCAACCTAAATTTCATAAATCTAGGCCACAGATAAGAAGTGACAATACTTGCCTCTACTGCTTCATTCATTGTTTTACGTGGGACCACTGGCAACACTTGTCGGAAATCTCCTCCCAAAACAACTACTTTCCCTCCAAACACTACCTTATTTCCACAAATATCTTGCAATAAAAGATCTAAGGATTCAACATTTTGTTTTTTAGCCATAGAAGCCTCATCCCATATTATTAGAGCGGTTTCCTTTAACAATGCAGCCAAACTCCCCTGTTTTGGAACATCGCATGCCAGTGAACCCTCATCATCAATCGGGATTTTAAACCGCGAATGAGCAGTTCTCCCTGAAGGAATGTTAGCTGCAGCTATTCCCGATGTAGCTGTAGGCAAAACAATCTTGTTCATTTGTCGAATTTCTGCATAGAGAGCATTGTAGAGAAACGTTTTTCCCGTACCTCCTGGAACATAAATAAAGAAAGCACCGGCTTTTTGCTGCAGGACATGTTCCATAATACATTCAAAAGCAGCATTCTGTGCAGAGTTTAACTGTGAACGACAACCTAAGCACTCTTGCGGGATTGGCGCATCTAGAGCATCTATAATATCCTTTGTACGCCTAAACTCATCACTAACCTGTGATACTAATTCCTCTAGACCAAAACAGGCAAGGGATTTTCCCATGGCTTCCAGATGTTGTTCAACTGCTCGAACAGTAAGTTGCTGTATTCTCACAAGCTGATTTGGAAACCTGTGAGAGTAATCCTCAGCAAGAAAAGGATAATAAGTATTCCATAAAGTAGCAGGATCTCTTGGTTGGCAGAACATTAACACTGTTGCAAACAGGCGACGCAAAGCAGCAGGCATATGAGTTTCACATGCTTCAGCCATAGTCGAATTAGCTGTGTCATCATCTTCTATAAGGCCTCGTTTTAGAGCAGCTTCCTGAAAGGTTGAATACAGACAGCCATCAACAGTACGCAAATCTTCAAAAGACGTAGGACTTCTTACATTCAACAATAGTAATCTAAGAAAGAACCGTTCCCCTTCTGCAGGGAACACAAATGCCAAGCGGCCAACTGAAATCCTATTTTGCACTCTTTTTTTCCATTTCTTATCACCCTGATGCCATGTATAATGCTCGCAGAATTCATCATATAAATATCCTAAGCCATGTTCAGTAGCAGCGTTCATTGCAAAAAATTCAGTTAGTTGAGTTCTTGAATGTTTGCCATCCAAAACAACAGACAGTAGCCTTTCATGTGGATGCAGATGAACAGTCTGCATGTATGGCAAATGGACCTGTAAAGGCAAAACAGAAGAGTACATTTCGAATAGGTCAAAGCTGAATATTCTCCATGCAGCTTCACAAGGAGATACCCATCTACCCGATTGATATCGGTGAATTTCATCTACAGTTTCGCTATCAGAAGCAACAACATTATAGGAAATCTTATCATGGCCCTTATAGACATACTTATACAGTTACTTTACTGCCTTAATGGTCGAACACACCTCAACATTCAAGTGGCAATCAAATAGCATCGACAGATAAGGGTTATAGGGAATGACCCACTGATTGTCTAATTGTGCATTTCTTATGGTGACCTGCTCCCTAGTGTCTCTCCTGCGGTAGATAGGATATCCATCCTTATTATTTGTTGTTTCATTACAAAATTTCTTAGGGTATTTGTTCTTACAACTGCGTTTTACACCAGCTTTCTTCATACATGGACAATCTGGATTCAGCACACCACAAGGACCATGCATCATATGCGCCAACACAATTCTTCTTAGGGTGCCATTACTTTGAGCAGGTATTTCAGAACAAACAAATCGATCATAGTCAGAAGGGCACTTGAGTTTATATGCAGGTTTCAGAATAATAAGAAAATGAGCATGGGGCAACCCTCTCTTCTGGAACTCGACCACATACACCATTGCAGCAACTTCCCCGAAAATCTTATTCTCCATGATTTCTTTTTTCAATGCTAACAATTTTGCTCTAAAAATCCTAGCAACCAAATCAGGTCTGTCTTGTGCCGTCTCACCAGCAGCTAGCTCGGCTTTTATTTCAGGCCAATTAGCATTACAAGTGATTGTTACGAAAAGATCTGGCTTCCCAAATCTTTGTACCAAAGCCATAGCATTTAAATACCGCTTCTTCATATCCCGAGGACCACCAATATAAGTAGGAGGAAGTATAACTCTACGGCCAACATTTTGGCCAAGAGTCTCCCCTAAATCCAGTGAATCAAGAATACCTTTATATAGATCAACTCTTATGGTGTCTTGATTATTTCGGAAATAATCAAGCCTTGTATTTTCAATCTTCACATACATATCCACTATGTATTGCTGAAAACACCTACCCGCTCGCAACAACATATTATTAGGCCTGATTTGTAATCTGTAGGCATAATACTCTCTTGCATAAATGAATTTGTCAGCTTTAGTGTTCTTTCTTTTTGCACCTGCAATTAAGATACGAAAGACAATATTTAAAGGGGATAACAGTAAAAGAGCACCTAATATTAAGCACGAAGAATAAGTTTTAGAATCTGTACGGGTTTCTTCTTGTTCCAATAAATCTGTTGCAGTATGAACAGCACAAGACATTATAGGATCTGGAACAAAATCTGTCGTGCTCCGAGACGGGTGAGAATTTTTTTTAAGCCCTTGAGTCCACCCACATTCACCGCGAGGAAACAACAAAGGATACTGAAGCGGATCATAGCAGCCATAATTATGATAGATTCGGTGAGATTCATCAGAGCGTCCACTGACTAATATATGAGGACCTAGACTTTGGCTAGATGAAGCACTTTCCGGCCAGATAGCAGCAACTTCATCAACAGCAGGAGCATTATAAACACGCTGATCAAGAACCGAGGCTTGATTTAAAATAATTCTTGTATCTGCATGAATGACCTTGTCCCTTAAATTTCGGAAGAACACATCATAGGGATTTTGTTCGGATACCTGCATCAGAATGCTAATTATGTCTTCTCTAATTTCAGGGAAACAGCCAACCCTACTTTCTGATTCATGTTGACCATCATAGAAATATAACTGGAGATACTTTGGATTGTCATCGTCAGGCAATAAATCTGGGACAAAATGATACATTTGCCCTTGCAACTTGAAAAGATAAATCCCTTTGTATGTGTTTGCATAATAATGACCCCCAAGTGAACTAAATGCGAACAAGTTGTTGTACAGCCTAGCATACTTTCTAAAATGCACAACACCTTCATCCTTCGAAGTAAATAAATAAACAAGTTCAGGGGGATATTCAGTAGCAGCAATCGTGATATCTCCATTCCCACAGCAATAATGCAAGGATTCAAACATAAATTTTTTTGCACCGCATTTGCCACACGAAAAGGGCATAGACAGTTTGAAAGGCTCCGCCGGCAACCGCCGATCCGTAGCATTACCAAGAATATCTAATACTACACAAAAAACACAAAAAAAAAAAAAACACAAAAAAAAAAACAACAACAACAAAAACCAAAACCCTATAAGATGCTAAACCATAATAGGACATTCTTAAAACTGACAGAATCAGTTACCTTGTACAGTAGATGTGGGTTTGTGTTTCTTAGAAAGGACACCTATTCCTGCTTCTTGAATACTGCACGAAATACATATTCTATTATGGTATCTTTACCACAAGGACCGAATAAGCACCCTTAGGAATGCAACAATCTGAAGGTATAGCCAGTAAGAGGGAAAAAGGAAAAATCGTTCATCAATACAACAAAGATAAACACAATAGCGGCTGGACAACGAAAACAGTGTACCTATTGAAATCTGGCATAGCCATTTCCTGTATACACTTCTCCCTCTTTGATGTACGGCGCCGTGGAGGCTGTGCAGGAGCAAACTGATCTGCCGATGAGCACGTGCTACATTTAAAGGTAAACTCTTTAACAAGCTATTTCCAAATGCAAGAGCCACTCATCTTAACTAACCAAACTCTAATAGATATATATACCTAGCAAATGCTGACTGTGATGTCCTCTGTGCAGCCTTATTTAGTCTAGTGCATCTTTTTTTAGATAGCTGAGGTATGCCATAACGGTAATCTAGCAAACAAGAAAGTAAAGCAGCAAAAAGAACAGACAGTTCAGAATCCAGTTGTATGAAACAAATTCTAGCACAAACTTCTCTAGCAAAGACAATACCCATTGTCACAGTTCTAGAAGAGGATATCAAAGCTGGAGGGTTCCGCAACACCTTCCGTAGACAAGGCCTGTAATAGTTTTCATATCAGAAACCAGACAGGGAAAAAATGATAAAGAAAGGCATCTCCCTGAACGATTACAAGAAAAGAAGTAAACAACGCAACGTGCAAAGACACAAGGCATACTACAAACACCAACTTTTATTATGAAAAAGCCATATCAGGCAGTACACCAAAGTAGTTCGATTCAGTACATCAGCAAAAACCAAAAGGTACATAATACTGGCTATGTCTTGCATCCTAAAACAGACATCAATAGTAGGACAAATCAAGCTACAAAGCAACTACATCACTGAGACAGCCCTAACATCTACTTACATACCATAAAGCCTCTAGACCCTAAAGGCAGCTAAGTTTGCTACACTTGCCTATTCAACCCTAGCACATTTGTGACCATTAGCAAATTCAATCAAGCCAGAAACAAGCTGATCAGAAACATGGACCCCCACAGCACTCGTAGGCAACTCTTTTCTATCAATGGTGCGCTTAGCTGGAAGACTTGGCGGAATAGCAAGGACCGGAATCTGGTTTGCTTCATCAGTCGGTGTCTCACATCCATCACTAACCAAACAGGTAACAGCCTCAGGTTGGGTAGAACTCCCTTGCAAACACTGAACATGGCTTTTCAAAACCAGATACCTTTCCCTAATCAAGGAACATTCTGCGCTCAGCTTGGCAGCAGCACCATAATTGACATCAACAATATCTAAATTGGGCACAGAAGATATAAAAAAACATGCCTTCTTAGCAACTCGCTGTTCAGCAAGATCCCTTTCAGGACAAGGATCACTGAAGATGCACTCCATTCCAATACTGTTATGTGAACAAGTGACCATTAACCAGGACATGTAACCATGTCCTTCTAGCTTGGTGGTCTCAATACCACTGGCAGTTACACCAGTCTTCCTAACTAATACTCCCAGAAACTGCACAAAATCAAGTCCAACATGAACATCATGAAACGGTACATCCTCCCGTGTGCTGCATTCTGCACGAATGCGACTCAAGTCTTCTCTGTTGTGTACTAATTCAGCACATAAATTCTTATACAATTTCACACACAAGCGATACATCTTCATACGCTCATACGTGAAGTCAGACACTCGAACATTAAACCGGCAGACTAATCTTTTCACAGCCTTGTGAGCTGCTCTCTCACGAGATTCTTCAACCGTAGCAGCATCTCCACCATAAAAGATAAACTTTGTACGGGAGTTTGGCCCATACACCCGCACAAAGACATTATTCTTTGCAGCATCTATAAATCCATATACCGGAGAAGAAAATTGCAACCAAGCAACAACCTTTTCCAAAATAGGTTGAAAAGGAACACAGACTCTGTTCGATCGTCTAGCCATAACCTGTAATGGCAAAATCAATGTTCAGGACAAAAACCATGAAGAGCAAAACACTCATTCCTCTTCCAACTAAGACAACTGGACCCTCCCCAAGAGACGAACCAAAAGGAACATAGAATTCGTTCCGTGTTTATACTAACCTAAAAGAATTCCTAAATAAAAACACAACCGTGCGAATAGTAGGCTACAATAATGAAGCAGCCACTTTTCTCTGAAGACCCAAACACAGCCTAGATTTTCAAGTTCTACATCAATAAAGTGACTTACCTACAAACTACCTCAATATCCCTTCACAATGAACGGGGAAAAAACAATCAATCAATCGCCCAGAGCATTTCTTTTACCAATTCTATGAATACTATAATGAGCTGAAACCATATAAAATTACACTCCAAATACCACACACGCTGTACAAAAGCAGTATCACAGGTAAAGAAGATGCACAAAACAATGTAATGATTGAGGCTCACCAAGACCACGAAAATCAGAACAAAACAACATAGCATAAAAAAGAACCTCCAAAACCACAGAACAACTTCTAAGGAACAGGAATTACCTTGAAAAGTCTTCCAGACACACCAGAACAAACCAAGGTCCAGCAACAGAAGCACAAACAATTCTATCAACAATCCTGTAACCCCACAAAAAGCAAAAATAAGAACATTTGAAGTCAACCAATAACCAGTTGATATGCCACCTGTTTGAAAAACCCAAATCCAAACTTCATTTGTTACCATTCCAAATAACACAGCAGGAATTAAATCAATACCACATGCCAATCCAGTGTCATAAGGATGAAAGCACCAATGACACTGGAAAACGCATTACAACTCTATGTAATTAGCTATTTTGAATTTAAGGTTCAATTTGGCAGCAAATCCGAAATACAAATCCATCTACACATTTTGAGATTCTATAGAGCTCAATTTGTCAGTAAATTCGAAATACAATCCGTATACACATATATAAAATGCACAGCAGGTAATATAATGTCAAGCCAACAAAGAACAACCTCCGAAAAGCACAGGAAACTAAGGTCACCCACACCCAAAAAAAGGTAATCCAACTAAACTATATATAGACTATGACGAAATAGTCCACCACCATTGATAAACCCCAGAAACCAAGTACAACAAAGTCATACCCAAGTCTTTTTTTAATTAATTCCTATAACAGGACACTGAAGTAAGGCAGTCCATTCCTAGAAAAGGCAAACACAGATTCTAGTCCTAAGCTAACATGCAACCGAAACAAAGCTGAGATCCAACAATTTCCAGAAAAGAAAAAGAAAAAAACCATACCAGACACTCTTGAACAGCACGCCAAACCAAACATTTCCCTTCCAAACCTCATCATTCAGAACAACAACGCGAAAACCCAAACCAGCAAAAGAGAAGATCCAAAGCTAACACCACAGCGGACAACCAAACAAACCTCGGAAAGCAATTCCTACAAGAAACAAGGACACCATAGCTGGCAACCAAAGAAGGATATGAAGACCAGCTGTCTCATCCGCTATAAATGGCAAGCAAATGCACATAGCTAAGGAAGGGCAAATCATTAAATGTAAGGGTGTCATTGTAATAGCACCACATGGAACTATTCATAAGAACAGTGAATACTTTTGCATGTTTTTAAGGTCTATAGAATTACAGAAATTATAGCACAATTTAAATCTCCATAGAACAATATAGCAATTAGTATATGTAAGAAACCTTCATAGAATGCAACTTTTCTCTATAGCCGGAAGTCCCATCTATATAGACGATCATTTTGCCCCTACCACTGATTTAAACTATGCAAGTTTAACGTTATCAACTAACACCATAGCAGCAAATGTCAAGTTTTTGACATTTGATTATTTGAAAATGTCAAGTTTAAGCATAATACTCAAAGTAGTTTATGTACTCCGTAATTGTGAATAAATGGAGCTTTGAGCTTTTTTAATAAGTGAGCTTGTTCATGAACACACATAAACAAGTTATTAATGAACTTATTATATGAACAAGTATATCTATGTTCATTATTCAGTCCATTTATTAAATTAGATTTAACTAATTGTTCGATCTCACTTCATTTTTGTGATAAATGAACACATATGGGAACCAACATTTTTGGAGTTTTTGTGATAAACGAACGTATATGGGAACCAACATTTTTGGAGTTTTTGCAAAGAGTATACACATTCAAAAAAACTCGGAACTACCAAGTTCTTCATAGCAAAAGTTAAAACTCTCCACAACGATATTCATTATGCTCTCGAGCATGGATTTAGAAACATTCATATTGATGGTGATAATCTCTTAGCAACCACCTAAGCTAAAGGCATTTGGTCAATCCCATGTATTATCATTAACATTTGATCTCTTCTCAACAAGTATTATGAGAGGCAAATTGAACCGCAGAGCGCAGACTAGATTGTTAATGTTAGTCATTTTGTTAGTGATAGCATGAAAATTATACCTTAGTGTAAATCTTCTTTAATTCTCATTTTCTTTTCGGGAATTCCATGTTCATCTTTTAGATTGACAAAAAACGTTAATCTAGCCCCATTCTCGGCATTTCACATTGCATTAGTAAGGACTCATCTGTCAATTCATGCTCCTTATTTGGAATTTGGCACACGCAAGTTCATGACTATACCTGCCATGTCATATTGGCCGTCTAAACGTTTTTTTAACTCAAGGATGCTGTAGTTTAACTACTCTAGTGAGGGTTTTCAAACACACTCATTCCTGTTTTTTCTTCAACGCCTCCATACAATTTGGTTAGTATTTGAATCAGATCCATTCTCTAATTATTTTTGTTTCTTCATTTCTATATCTTCCTCTAATGTTCATATTGGTATGGGACAAGACGCCCTTGGAAAAAGGTGCCGGCCACCAGTATTTGACGATGCTGCGGGAAAGGCAAACAACTCGAGCGAATCTGTAAGTCTTGTTTATGCTGATTGTGTAATGGATATGTACTGGTTGTAAATTTCTTTGTTAATTCAATTGAAATCGTTGTTTACTGGTAATTGAAACTTATTATTTTTTAAATTAACAAGTGCTAATACAAACTCAGAATACGTATTCATTAAATAAAAACAGATTCCGTGCAAGTTTGAATTTTGCGTTCAAGATTTAATTGAGATTCGTGAATTCTTTTAATGAAATTGGAGATTTTGATAATGTTGTTGAAAATGCAACACCCAATTGGAACTGGAATAGTTCAAAAATCCATAGAGTTACATCCCGGACTATTCACGGTAATAATAATTGATATGATTTTAGTGTTTTAATTAGCATTTGTATATCTTGATTCAATTAGCTTAAGCATTTGATGTATTGTAGGATGACAGTTTAAGTTTGGGAGGTTTTGTGAAAGCAAAAGGGCAAGTGATTAAATCATTACTCTGCTGCATTGCGTAGAGTGAGTTCCATTCTCATATTTTTTACAACTTAAGATAATGTTACAGATTGATTTAAAGTTACTTTATGGTAAAGGAAACCTGACGTTGTTTCAAACATGAACTGCAGCCCTCCAATATGACTTGTCGTGTTGAGTCATTTGGTAGAATATGCCAGAAATTCGATGAAAGGAGAAAAAGATGGGTTTGTGATATGGGGTTTGGGGGGCTCCTACATTTTGCTTCCCGTATGCACTTACCACGACAGTTAGCATACTGGATTATGACTCGTATTGATCCTATTAATAGGTGTTTAATAGGCACAAATGGTCGTTCGATTTACTTTTCAAAGAACCAAGTGCATTGGATTTTAGGAATTCCTAATGGGGAGAAACCAGTCCCTACATCCAAGGAAATGTCAGGTGTAGTTAAGATGAAGGTCCAAAAAATATTGTTAAAGTATGGAAGGGCGTGGAAGACAAAAGCTAATAAACATGGGTCTGGGACATGTACTTCAGTTGGCATTCCTGTTACTGGGATCATGATGGATAGATTGGAGGGACATTTTGATCCAGATGAAGAAGAAGAATTTAAAACCTTGTTCCTAATCATTTCTCTACATATGATTATGTATCCAACACAATCCCCAAGAATGTCAACTGATTTGCTACCGGCATTGAGTTGTTGTATGGATAGCCAAAACTATGATTGGTGTGAATTGGTATTGAACAAATTAAATTTCTAGAGATTGTCTCAAATTTTGCTCGGCGGTTTTATGCTATGGATTTGCAGGTGGTAGCGGTGGTTGTTCAATTTTTGCAGTTGTGAGTACCTCATATGTCTTTTTGTCAAATGTATTATAAGGATAAAATTGTTTTCTATAGTCAAGATTATTGTTTAATTTTGATTAAAATAGTTTAAGGAAATAATTTCAGATTTTCTATTTGGATCGATTAAACTTGGATCCCAATGCGTGGGATACATATCCTCGAGTGAAGGCATGGAGCATGCAGAGAATTGGGTATTCATGCAAGCTTGACCGAACTTATTCCAGTGACTATGGAAAACTAGGGGTATGTAGGTTATAGATGTGGCTTATGGTGAAAGACATCCTAAGGTAGCACGGGACACATCCGGACCACCTCAATGTCCAACTTATGATGTGGGTATAGTTCTTTGGTAAATTTATATTGCAAGGGTTACAAATGCACCATCACTCTTTAACGATTTGTATTTCATTTTTGTGTAGGATGTTTCGGCCCATGTTCCCAGTAGTATTTTACCCCCGTCCCTTAGTCATAATTAGTAGTGTTTTTGGCTCTTTAGAGCCATTTTTATTACTAATTGGTGTTTTCTAGTGTTTTCGTAGATTTGGTTGACTTTTGCAGGGATTCACACTTTTGGAGCATTTTCCCGAGATATTATGGAGCAACTACGAGTACTGGAGAAGCACGACCAGTTTCTTTTTCCCGTGACCGGTTAGAGCCATTGAACCGGTGATTAAGGGCTCGGTATTTGTGATACCGGGCATTTGGACCGAGTATTCAAGACCCGAAGAGGAAATCCAGATTGACCCGAAGAATTGGAGCCCAATCGAAGTCCAAATAATGGCACAAGAGTGCCGTCCGACCAAAGAAGCTGGCGCCCGAAGGCGCGCTCGGATGGGCGGGGGTAGCAAGGTCGGCGCCCGAACTCGCGCCCGACCGGGCGCGAGATTTATACCTGATGGAAAAAGGCGCGCCCGATCGGGCGCATGTTATTTTTAGGAGTTAATTATCGTCGTTTAAGTTTGTTTTAGTTTAGGATTCTTGCTTAATATAAATACTTTTCCGTTAAGCGAGTTTAGGATCTTCTTTTACTCTTTCTTAATTCTTTCTTCGATTTTCTCTCTCTACTTAGCTTTTAGATTATTTTCTCTCTCTCATATACTTTGTTCTTAACTCTATTCTTAATTCCAGATTTCTTTGGTAAGAATTTCTCTTCTCTTAATCTTAGTTATTTATTTTATTCCTTTGATCATGTCTTGTTTTATTACTTTGATTTGTTTAGATTTAATTATGTGTGAGTAGTTCTAATTCTAGGGTTTGTGGGGATCCATAAATAATATGAAGGGGTAATTTATTGTTGTTAACAATGATATATTAATTTCCTATTGATTGATTTAATGCTCTGTGACTAGATTTGCGCAGATCTTTTATGCATGAGTTTGACAATATTGATTCGAGATTCGAGAGATGAGAATTGATGTTTAGGTCTAGTTTCTATAGGCAGGTTAATTTATAAATGGTTAAGTCGAGATTCGAGAGATGAGATTTAATGCCGGTAAATTAATTGTGTGATTGTAATACGTAGCGAAAGCCCTTTATGACTTGATTAATTTATGCATTGATGATTGATTATTATGCTTTACCCTGGAATATTATTTATTGGTGAACCTATACCCTAGATCTTTTATTCATTGTTTTCTCTTTACTCTTAATCTACGTAGTTTAGTTTTATATCCAAATTTATATATTGGTTACTTTATAATTTAGATTGCTTGAATTAATTAGGAAACGAAAGACTAGTTTCCCTGTGGATTCGACCCTACTTCCCTATCTATTTTAGTTAGTGGTTTTAGGAATTAGTTTTGATTAGGTGATACGACTTTAGCCTGTCAGTAATTTTGATGACTCTTATTTTTAAAATGATTGCAAACTATTGTTTCCCTTTATTGACTGGGTTGTGCTGTGTTAGTTAATAATAATGTATTGGCATAATCAATATTTTCACATTAGTGAAAAAAGATTGTGCTATGGAAAATATATTAATACTTAAAGATGGACTACTTGATTGTTTTTATATGATTTAATTTTAACCACTACAAAAAAACAAGTGAATTGCGACCGCCAGTACCGGTCGCAAATTATGAGGAAAACGGTCGCTATTTAAAACTGCGACCGTCACCCGGTCGCAAAGGCACGGTCGTTATTTAACTGGTCGAAAAAAAAAATTTGCGGCCACTTGGCGGTCGCAGATCGAATTGCGACCGTTTTTCGTATTTTCAACGACCGTTTTTTTTAACTGACGTAATTTGTTATTTGCGACAGGCAACGCGGTCGCAATTGTTGAAAATTACAACCGCTTATGACGGTCGCAAAACTCTAGGATCTGCGACAGGCCTTGACGGTAGCAATTTTCAGTAAATTACGACCGCCTGAGACGGTCGCAAATTCTTGTGATCTGCGACAGGCCCTGACGGTCGCAATGTTCAGTAAATTACGACCGCCTAAGACGGTCGCAAATTCCTGTGATCTGCGACAGGGCCTAACGGTCGCAAAAACATGAGATCTGCGATAGGGTAGGTAAACGCTCGCAATTCCTCATAGCATTTTTATTATTATAATGCAATTTTCAAATAATTACAATTTGCATTATCGATGCCATCCTAACATGAACCTATAACCTGTTATCATGTGAATTAATTTCAAAATTAATATAAAATAAAAATAAAATGCATAATTCATATAGATAATAATATTAATAATTAAAAAGTCCAACTTCGAACAATACATACAATGACAATGTTCAAGTTAATAGTAATAATAATTAGTTAGTAATAGTTTTATAAGCTTAACTTTAAAACTAAGTTAGGTCTATATGAATAAGTAATGGCCTATGTTCCTTCAAAAAATAGATAAGGCCAACATGTGACAAAATAATACCAATTTCAGGCCTATATTCCCCAAAAAAATAACGAAATGGCCTATATCCCCCCCCTCCAAAAAAAAAAAAAAAAACCTAAGGCCTATATTCCCAAAAAAAAACCTAAGGCCTATATTCCCTCAAAAAAAATACTAAGGCCTATATCAACAATACTAATGTAAGAGCTTTATGAAAAAAAAACTACGACACCGGAGTCTGGTGACCAAGCCCACCACCACTCATGTCCGGGTCATCTTCCCTACGAAACTGAAATGGAGGACTACCTGAACAGTTAGAGAACAAGTTCTGCAACATTGTCTCCATCATTCGCTTACTCTCAATTGTTGCCTCCTCCCGCTCCTTCTTCAATGCCTCCTGCAATTGCGTTGCAAACTGTGCCTCCATCTGTGCCTGCATTTGCACTTTTGCCTCCTCTATTCGCTCGGCAACCTCGGCTTGCACACGTTCCTCCAACTGTGAAGCTATAGAAGGATTGTACGATTGCGAGCCTTTCTCGGAAGAGGGGCTGTAAAACAAACTAGCACTTGCACCTAGGCCCTTCACTACACCCTTTTTCCTACCATTAACGACCTCCCAGTATAGCTGGTTAGAGTTCGGTTGTGACCCTTCTTGAGTGGAAGACTCGTCAAGCTTATTTTGGTAGTTTAGACACCCATTTGTGTCTCCCCAAAACAAAACCCAGTGATGAGTACCTTTCACGTCAAATCATAATCGAATGAAACGAAAGTGTGGAAAGTCTAGTGTTGCGGAAAGTTTTTATTTCTTTTCTCTTCTCTCTGTTTTTGAAAACTTATTTTAAGAAAACAGTCAATCCAATTTGGTTGGTCCTTGATATGGGTCCAATAGTAGTGTAGTTGGATGGGGCTTGCAAAGACCTTTCCAACAATATATTATAAGCCCAATTCCGATGAATATTGAGGAAGTTATGGCCAATTTACTAAACTGGGCCCGGTTTGAGCTTTATGTATGGCCCAATGATCTAGGGGAGGGCCTAATATGATTTATTATTCCTAATGAAATTAGGAATGGTTTTAGTCTTCTAGATTCTTCTAGAATATTCTTTTCATTCCTAATTCAATTAAAATCAAATAGCATTTTTGAAGAAATTATATGATTTTATCCTCTAGTACGGTAAACTTATCTGATTTTTGAAAACGCGTTGAAATTAGGCTTGGCGCCTAACCCCAGGCCTTGGCGCCTGGCGCTAGTGTTGGTGCCTGGCGCCAGCTAGCCAGGGTTGGCGCCAACCTCGTTTTGCGTGTGTCAGACTCTGTTTTGTCTAATTTATCTTTTTGGCTGATTTTCTCTATAAATATCGTATTAAAAACTCCATTTTGATTCACCAATTAATTTCATTCATCACCTATTCTCTCTAATCATTCACCAATTCTCATCATTCACAAGTTCTACAATCAGTTTTAATTAGCATTCTTCATTCAACATTCTTTCTAACTTTGTTTTTTCATACAAAATTCCGCATTCACAAGATCTAGATTAACCTAGCCATATTCGAAGTTGCCTTCGCCCTAGACGTGAAAGGTTTTAATTTCTGAGGGTTTGGTCCCAAATCTCTCTTTCAATTATTTAATTTAATTGTTTGTTTATTATTTTCCTTGAAGTTACTAACGTGTGTATTTTGTTATTAGAAAGAGGTACGAGGCATCAAAGTAAGTACTTTAATTGATTAATTGATGTTATGATCATGTTTACATTGTTATTATGATATTCCTAGTATCATGTCTAGGGTAAATTTAATATTAAATATGATTGTTACGATGCTTCCTATGTTCTTCCTAATATTTATGATTGTTAGTATCATGTTAGGGCTAAAGATTTGATTTTTATTGCTTATTAACATGCTAGGGTTTGTAATTAATCTTGTTAGTATCATGCCTAGGATCTTGCTATTATTATGCTTTAATATTAACATGAATATGATTATGATTATAATTGTTGTAATTTATGATGATTATGATTATGAATATTATTATTATTATTTTGATGATGATAATTATTATTCATGTTTATTCTAATGATTGATTATTTATTATTATGTTGCTTTATATTTTATTTTTATTGCTTGATCACGCTTTTATTGCATGTTTAAAGGGAATTTTGTACTTGTAATCACGCTTAATAAGATAATTACTAATCTTGTTAGGGTTAATTTGATTATAATTTCAAGTGATCGCCAATAATAGGTTTATTTGTGCATTAAATTCAACCAACATAGATTAAACAAGTTTAAGGTTAATCCTATTGATTGCATGTTAATTAAAAAGCGCACATGAATACGATCAGAATAAAGTAGAGGCCTATTATTAGGGCAGGTTCAATCTCTTTTAGATTGGATTTGTACCATCATCCCCGAACCCTTATTTAGTTCATGACCTTATGGAGTTGACGATCTCTTGGATCGTTAAGGGGTGTAACCTTCACCTCGTGAACGGTTTACAAGTTCCTAAAAAAACTTGTTGGCAACTCTTTTGCTCTATCTTCTTCCCTTTTGGACGCCACCGTACTTTAATGTATGATCATGGTGGGGTTCAAGCTAGTGGGATTTTAAAGGCTTGAAATTATTCCCTACAGTTTTTGGCGACTCCGTTGGGGAGGATTTCTATTTTAATTCCTGAATTTGTTTCGGCAATGATTTAGAATGAGTG